GTGGAGAGGGATAAAAATCATGCATGCATAATTTCTTGGTCTTTAGGAAATGAGTCCTCATATGGACCTAATCATTCTGCTGCAGCCGGTATATATACCTTTTTGTATATATCTTTGAGATGGTTTCTATTTGAGACATACAGAAATCTAAGCAATTACAATATTTATCATACATATATGGTTGTCGGTTCTACTTCTGTTTCCATTTTTCACATATATCATAGATTTTTAGCTGGTGTCAGATCATACTTCTTGTGTTTCCTGTGAGACTTGAGCATGTGTGCTTTATTTCAGATGTCTTGGCACTCAACAATGTGTAGACACACTAATTTTCATTTTCTTTTTACATTGCATGAATTTAAGCTTCCCATTTATTCACTAGGAAAGACATTGAAACTGTGAAATGGTTTGCTAAAAACCAGGGTGGTGGCCTCCGGCAATTGAAAGTTTATATGGATAACAGATCATTTAAGTTAAATCTTTTATTAGGTTGATAGTGTTGTTAGAAGTTGGATAGTGTTGTTAGAAGACTTGAAGTTTTACTTAAACAATACCTTAAATTTTTCTGTTCTTTTATTAGGTTGGGTTCGTGAAAGGGACCCCTCACGGCTGGTGCACTATGAAGGAGGTGGATCCAGAACAACATCCACTGACATCATCTGCCCGATGTATATGCGTGTTTGGGACATAGTGAAGATTGCAAAAGACCCAACTGAACCACGCCCTTTGATATTGTGCGAGTATGTTACCTCTGTTCTTCTATACGAGCTACATTGACCTCTTAATTGTTCTTAGATGTCTTAATTACACCATGCAGTGCATGTGTTAATCATGTGAGTAACTCCATTTTCTCTATTTATATGTCCTTGTGGTATTCAAATCGGCAGGTATTCACATGCAATGGGGAATAGCAGTGGGAATATACATGAATATTGGGATGCAATTGATAGCACATTTGGTCTCCAAGGCGGCTTTATCTGGGAGTGGGTTGACCAGGTTTAGAATCCTTTATACTCTTAAGAAACATGGAAAAGTATCAAATTGATGAGCGAAATTAGTTTTCTGCCATCGTTGGCTTACCTAAAATCTTTACCTCTTATTTTGAAAACCATCCACAACTTACAATAACAATCTTTTGCTCTTAAGAATGGTCCACCCTACCACACAGCATAATTTTAAAATATAGAATGAAGACTAAGATGTCTATTTAAAAGTATAGCTTATTGAGATTCTATAAAAACTGCAGCAGCGGTGATTGGAAATATAAAAAAATTCTGGTATATTTTTATTTTTCACATTTCTGAGGCAGAAAATGTATATAAATGAAAAATCTGAATATAAGCCTCTAGGAATTTTCCTGCAACAGATTCAGCAGATTGACAAACTTGAGAGTCATATATAATTCATACAATAAACTACGATACTTGCATGCAGAAAAGGAAGAGCTGTGGCATGTTGAAATCTAAAATGTTTAGTTCCCCCATGATTAACATAAGAAACTATCTTGGTATTTGCATGATAAAGACCTTGAACATTTGTCAATTAAATATACTAATTTATTTTTGAGAAAGATATTTCAAATCTCTTCTTATTTATCAAATCAAAGTATTTGCTTTTTGACTGTAGGCGTTATTGAAGGAAAGTGGAGACGGTAGAAAACACTGGGCTTATGGAGGTGACTTTGGGGATACACCTAATGATCTGAACTTTTGTCTTAATGGTCTTACATGGCCAGATCGTACTCCTCATCCTGCATTAGAAGGTTAATTTATTCTTCTCGTAATGAGTCTGCATCTACTTCCTTTTTTCCATCTTGTAAGATGACATCTAGACCTAAGTTTTGTTCAAATCATGAATCGTGTCAGTTATTGTTTGCAGAAGTCAAGTATGTTTATCAGCCAATCAAAGTTTCACTAGAGGAAAGCACAATAAAGGTACTCGCAAGTTTCACCGAGCTTCTGCATTTCTCATCCTTCACTGAATCTGAATTTCACTTCTAACTGGAATTTGATTTTGCAGATAACCAACACCCATTTCTTTCAAACTACACAAGGTTTAGAGTTTAGCTGGACTGTCCACGGTGATGGATATGAACTTGGATCTGGAATTCTCTCTCTTCCACTGACAGAACCTCAGAGCAGTTACAAGTTAGAATGGGAGTCGGGTCCATGGTATCCTCTATTGGCTTCATCTTTTGCAGAAGAAATTTTTTTAACAATAACTACTAGACTCCTGCATTCCACACGTTGGGTTGAAGCTGGTCATGTTATTTCATCTACGCAAGTCCAGTTGCCTACCAGACAAAAGATCATGCCTCATGTAAATACTCTTCTTTTATGCTTAATTGTATAATTTCATTTATCTTCAAATATTTTACAGCCATGCTTTCTGGTTTGAAAATGGCATTTCAGGTTATCAAAACTACCGATGCAAAAGTCTTTAGTGAAACTCTTGGAGATACAGTTAGAGTTAGCCAGCTGAACGTTTGGGAGATAACATGGAACATTCAGACTGGAAGTATTGAAAGCTGGAAGGTTAGTATTGCATTTATGAATTGTCCTCAATATCATATTTAGTTCATTGAAGCTAGAAACATAAATACATGAATTTTTAGTTTTCTCTCTTCTTTTGATGTTTCCATATACAAGTGGAGCCTAGACATATCCTAACCAACTTGTACTGCATGATTACTTCAATAAAACCCCTTTCATACATGGAAAACAAAGTTGGAGCCAAAAAGATCTCTCTGTTTTTGAAACACAGTTTGAGGTATTATTTCTTTTTAATGCATGAAAGAATTATTCTCTGATGCATAGCATATGAAAAAATGATGCAGAATCTTGTTTGGTATTTCATAGGATCTGTAAAGTTCTTATTCTTTGCTGACCATGAGAAGTTTTTGGCTGCACCATGTCTTTTTTTTTCCTCTCCCGGGGTTGCCTTATAGACATGAACAAAGCTCGGAACCCTATCTAAAGATTTCCGTTTTGAATTTCAAGTTTTCAGGTTACTTAGGAGACCTCATATAAATAAAGACTACATTTTGGTTACCTAATAACTTATTATTTTATTTATTTTTTTGGGAGGGAGAAGTTATATTTCATCATTGACCTTGCGCAGAGACAGGAGTTTTTAGCTTTTAAACAAAACTAAGTTTTAAAGGTGTGGTGATTGTAGGTTGGAGGAGTTCCTGTTATAAAGGAAGGCATAATCCCATGCTTCTGGAGAGCACCTACAGATAATGACAAAGGTGGAGAAAAAGACAGTTATTACTCCCGGTGGAAAGCAGCTGGTATTGACAGCCTTGTATTTCTGACAAAAAGTTGTTCTGTGAAGAGCGCAACCGACAATCTTGTGAAAATAGAGGTCATTTATGTTGGTGTCCCAAGTTGTGAGGAACGCTCCTTATCTGAATCTACAAATGCAACAGCTTTAATCACAGTTAATATGATCTACACAATTTATAGTTCTGGGGACTTGATTATTGAATGCAACGCAATTCCAAGTTCTGAGCTTCCACCTTTGCCTCGAGTGGGAGTTGAATTGCACTTGGAAAAATCAGTGGATCAGATTAGATGGTATGGAAGAGGGCCATTTGAATGCTATCCAGATAGAAAAGCAGCAGCCCATGTTGGGGTCTATGAGCAGAACGTGGGTGACATGCATGTTCCTTATATTGTCCCCGGAGAATGTTCTGGTAGAGCAGATGTTAGATGGGTGACATTTCAGAACAAGGATGGAGTAGGCATATTTGCTTCAACTTATGGCAGCTCCCCACCTATGCAAATGAGTGCTAGTTACTATTCCACATCAGAACTTGACCGAGCGACACACAAAGAAGAACTTGTTCAAGGAAATGATATTGAGGTGAATTATACTACTGGGATTTCATTCGCTGAATCTATATCTGATTAATCTACAAAGCATTCATGTTTTCTATTATGGTTTGCCATTCTTTCTTCCTGTCAAATCACTCTTATGTCATATCTGTATAGAAAATGCAAGTCACTAAAATAGAAGTCAAAGGAGAAAAAAAATGGTTTGCTTAAATCTTTCTTATAATGTCTATCCGAGGTATTACTGACCATCTAGAGTGACCATAATACTAAATTTTGTGCTGTCAATTGCTTCTTGAATTCGACACTATAACTATTCTCTAACCTTGACATGCTTGCATGACCATGTGCTATTTGTGATACACTATTATTCTACTCAATCTAGGGCGCTTAAAATGGTCATCAGATTTGTAAGTTAGCGTTTCCTCTACAAAATTTATGTTCCGGAGAATGAGTTTTGCTCTAGTTGACATTTGTTGTTGGCGTATTTTCGTTGCTGCTTGGTTACCTTGCTAGTTTTCTTTCTCATGCTGCCATCCTGCCATATGTCTTGGATTAAGTATTCAAGTCAATGTGTTTGGATTGCAGGTGCATCTTGACCACAAACATATGGGACTGGGTGGAGATGATAGCTGGTCACCATGTGTCCACGACAAGTATCTAGTTCCTGCTGTGCCGTACTCCTTTTCTATCAGATTGTGTCCGATTACTGCAGCTACACCTGGCCTTGAGATATACAAACCCCAGCTTCAGAACTAATCGAGCGCAACTTGTTGTATCACTAGAGACTTGAATCGAGAATAATAATGTGGATGTCTTTCTATAAGAATAAGATGCCATCCATGACATCACGATTTGTAAGGTCGACTTGCATCTAATGAAGAGCTGGTCAACCGATCCTTGTTCTAAAGCCTTCAGCTCCAATTCCTCCATCCTAGAGCGATTGGGTTTGATTTCAGATTCAGGACTAAAACAAAGGCAGTTGTCCTTTTGTTCTCAATCTCTTTTGAAGATCCTCTTAAAAGGGTTTTTTCGTTCCCTTTTGCCTCACTTCTACCTTTTTCTTCTGCACAGCTTCTTTCTTTGTTTTTTGAGAGCTTGAATCGGACTCGCAAGCCAGTTTCAACATCAGCTCTTCTACCTTGTTTTTAAGCCAGTTCGGCGTTAAAAATATTCCACAGCATCAGCAGGAGTCCTGTCAATTTCTTGTAACAATGCCTTGATCTTATCAAACAAAGCATGCGATTCAATATGCAAACAAGTCTTTGCCAAAATCTTGAATCCCTCGAGTTTGCAATGTGACAGCTCAACGTGCTGGTCCATTCTACCTCTTCTAATGAAAGCTGGATCAAGTGTCTTTATGATTTTTTGAGCCTTTCGACTTTCGATCTTTGCCCCGTAAGATCGAGCGAGCAACCAATATCCTCAATGAAAACAATAGCCTTGATACATCAGTCAAAAGCTTTCTTAGCAAAGCGTATTGTCCTTAATCATGCTCGATTTACCGGTCTTTGCATGGTCCATAGAGAAGAAGATAACTCTTTACCAGTCTTTGCATTGTACTCTTTCCCTTCCCTGGATGCGACCAGTTCACTGATGATCTCCTCCTCCTTTGTATCAATTGCAGTGGTATCAAAAGTTGCTGGATGATAAAAACTACATGGCTCCACAAGTTGCCCCCGTAGCTCCACAAACTATCACTCGGATTATTAGTATAAAGCCCGAGTTTTCAGTTTCGAGCTTCGATTTCCTCGCCCTCTCTCATCACAAACTTCGAGTATTCCTATATTTTATTTTTTTGGGTTCAATAAGAGGTCTTTGTGTGTCGAAGGTAGTCCTTCACTATTATTCACTGAAACTCTAATCTGTTTCACTGAAGGAAGCTACCGAAAGCGCAATCGCTAAATCGAAGTGTTTTTTAATAAAAATGTTTTGTGCTTTCTTTATTAAAATGACTTGGTTTGAGGGGTGATGGATGAAAAGAAAACAACTTAACCTCGACATCAAACACATGAACCAAAACCTCGTTCTCATCGATGCCGAAGACAAGAGATTGTGACTTCTTACCAGGTGCACCATTGAGATGCGCAGCGTGAGCGTGATCAGTGGACTTGGAACCAAGGCACGATTCGATGGCAACGTAAGCTTCGTTACGCCTAAGAAAGATTTGGATCTGGGTATTCATCGGCCTTGCATGGTGTTTCTGTAAAGATAGGGAAGCAAGGGGTTGCCTTTGGAAATTGAGTCTGAAACAGTGAGGAATACGCATACAAGGAGATCATTAATTACAAACACCTTATATCATCAATCATATGACATTTTGCTTTGCACCATGGTCTTCATCCCCCTTAAAAGATGCTACTGAGCAATGCCCTAATTTACCAGGTCCCGTCTCGATAAGAATTTCTTTGCCTACGATATGATGCTATACACTTTCAAGGATATGCTTGTACACCAGCAACATATGTGGCCTCAACTGTCACGGATCCTTCGGCCAAGTCATCCAATGTACTGGCGGACAGAATGACAAAATCTGCCAGTTTTCCAGGGGATAAGGATCCCAATTCATTGTCCAGAAAGCATGCATAGGCAGCTGAAATAGTGTGCCTGCCATGGTGATCGTGTGAGTTCACAGGTGAAATCGTAGTAACAAAGTTAGATAAAAGTTGTCAAGGATGGACAAAAGTTTCTGATAGAGCAACACAACCCACGCTGATGACTATAAAATAAACCAGAGTGAAAAACAAACAAAAGCTTAGGACAAATCAGAGCTTTAAGAAGAAAAAATATGCCGTAGGCAAGCACATTTGAAGAAAGACACTGAGCATGCTTGCACAAGAAAGCGAGAACTCCAAATACTAAAAAGATAGCAAAACCAAAACATGCGCATCCAAACAATAGTTGGCCACTGAATTGAACTGCTAAATTTAACCACCTTGTTCAAGGCATTCAGCAGTGATGATCTTTTTCTACTAAAACAGTTCTAGATATTAATCTGCTACGAAGCGCCATCAAGGATGCGCCTCTGTTAAATATGCTTACTGACTGGGTCATTAGGATCCACAAGCATAAAAATTCCAGTTCCAACACACAATATCTAGCAAACCAAAAAAGAAGAAGTAAACTTCCTCTATATACTTAATAAATCAGAACAGACAAGCATAGCACATCAAAAAGGAGATAAGTATTAGGAGATAATATTTCAGTATTGCTTACGCAATTAATGCATCATTCAGTGAAAGGCATTCAGATGACATCCAAGCATTTTTCCAGCCATGGGGTATTCTTTTTATTGCTGTTTTGATGCTTCCTACAGGATTTATGTTTGCAACCTGAAACAACATTAATATTTTTCAGGAATTTTGCCAAGTACACTGCTCAGAACAGATATTGTGATCTTAAGAAGACAGTTTAACTGAAGCAAATACACCATTCAGAACAGATACTATAGTTCTATAATACTTACAGGCCAGTCAGAACCCAAAGCCAACCGAGCATTGCTAGCAAGAAGCGAGTGGAAAAGGTAAGATCCCTGCTGGGCCCTATCCACCCCAAGCTTTTTTTCAGCGGAATCAGCATCATCAAGAAGGTGATCTGGCTGTTGATTATTATCATATGATTCATGTCATGAAACAGTAAAACTCTCACCAGAAAAATGGAGGGAAGAAAGGAGAAGAGGGGGGGTCGTGGGGAATGAACCTTAGCTATTCTAATATAATGGTATAAAGTATGAACCCAATACCAGTGCTTGAATGAGACAATATTCTAGTAGCTAATTGCAATTGTCACTTCATCTTCTTAAAATGCTATTGGTGCTTTTCACAACCATGGAAAGCAAATGGATTGCATATTTTTCCGGCTTTATTTCTACTGACAAATTAAACTACATCACATCCTTGTTATCTTGTAAATGTGGAACTCCCATTACCATCCGCTCTTAGCCCTTTAGTTAACTAATTCTCAATTTTAAGCCACAAAACAGCCCCTTTCACCTCAAGCAATACCCTTTCACTTCCTAATTCAATCGACAAAACTTAATATAAACAATTGAAAGCAGAAGGATAAATTGATGGAAAACCTGCACTGAAGCAACAACCCCTTGCTCACCAAATCTGGCAGCCATTCCAGGTGCCAGATGCTGGGCATGCTCGATCTGAAATATTTTTGTCCATCATGAAAAGCAACAATGAGTGAATGTTAATTGGAAATGATATTCTGCTGCCTTAACATTCTAAGGAGAGAACAAGTTAATCCTTAGGGGAGCCTTTTTCATTTTGAGCTATGAACTTTACCCTAAATCTTCTATCTCTCATTCCATTTGTTAAAGCAACTGATCTGTACATCTCCAGGACCATCTCATTTGCTCGATCACCTATAGCATGAATTGCTACCTGAAACAAATTTTGAAGTAAACCTTGAAACTTACTGGATAGAAATGAAAGCAGTGAACGTGTATACAGATACAGGCATGTTCAGGTGCTGTGATAGGACAAGGCCACACCTGAAGTCCAAGTTTATCAGATGCTGCTGTCATGTTGAAAAGACTCTCCAGATCAGTCACTTGTAAGCCATAGTTGTGAGGCTCATCAGCGTATGGCTAGAAATTGGAAAAACTTGTTACTGGACAATTGATTGAAATGAAAGGAAAAAAAATTGCTCAAATTCAAATACAGACACCCAAGTTTCACACGCTCCACTAACTAATTACAAAACACATAGGGTACCAACTTATTTTGGGCTCACCAACTTCAAACAGGCCTTTCACGAGAAGAAATAAGGATCTTAGCCACAGGATCTATATTTTTAGATTGTTTGGAGAAAAAGTCAACCCCCTTAGCGGCATCCGTGAATAAAATTCAATCTCTCCATTATAATAAGCAATTGAAATTCGATAATGAGTTGCATTATCAACTTTAAAACCCTTCACCTTTTGAGCATTAACCACAGATACAAACAGGCAAAGGCTTGCTTGAGGCTACATAAAGTACAAAGCAGTTTGGCAAAGGCATTTTCCAAGCTCAAATAACTGCACAGTTCATAGTTTTTCTTTTCTTTTCTTTTTTCCTTTGCTTGCTAAGTTTGTAGATGGCATTTTATATACTGCTTTGGAAAAGGAAAGGTAGCTAGTTTAGAATTCTGTCTATAAGAGTTTTGATAATTGGAAAGAATTCCTTAGCCCTATAAAAGAAAAGTAGAGTTCATAAATACCATATCACAGGAAAAATAATAATAACTTAATCTGAGAAATGGGAAAAAATCAAAGGGAGATAATATCAAGTATGAACAAAAAAGATCAGGTCATTCACCTTTCTTCTTTTGGCTGGGAACTAAGACAAACATTGGTGAGAAAAGGACAAACTAGAAGTGGTTTCAGAAAATAAATTTCATGGTAATGGCAGCAGGAAAATCTGGTAAACAAGGGTTAAGCATAAGACAACCAAATGCGGTGATCCTTTCGACATACAATGAAATTCAGAGCTTCAAAATTAACAGCAAACTGAACTTCTTTGCCATTCACAGATATTTTGTTTTCCTAACATATGCTAACATGTGTGGATCTTATTCAACAACCAATGTTTTTTTTTTAATTATTATTATTATGTCACTTGTGTAACAACAAGTGAGTTTCTCCCTATCCTCCTGTTTGTGTGCTATACATCACAGGCTAAGGCAACTTATACCAACAAGAAACATGGTTATTAGATGCCTTACATGCATCATTTCCTAATCCAAAAACTGAGTATTCTCTCAATGTGTTTGCATTAAATCTTAGCACAGTCACCCATTCCCCATTCATGCCTTACCCAGCTAGACCAGACAAAGGAAGAATAGGAAGGAAATGATAAATCCATCTTTCCAATATCACACCGTGTCCTTGTATACAAATCAAACAGGATAAGATTAAGTTATCTGGAAGAATTTCCAAGTTCATCTCATCTTGCTCTACACACTAAAATAGTTGCAGCAGACATCAGTGCCATATATTAGGCCAGGGAATTTAAGACCTCAAACCTGACAAAATCAAAATAAAACATGAGTGGAAACAAAGTATTTTAATCCTCACCTCAAAGAAAAATGCACTATTGGAACCTAAAGATCCATCAGCAAATGCCTTAACACCACCCAAATAAATCCAATTGCTAAGTACTCGTCCTGTCTTCTTGATAAGCTCCTGAGAGTGAACAAGACCTTCATAAATAAGGGCAAAAATAGAGAGAAAACTAGAACACCAGCTGTGGGTAAAAATAGAATCCATACAAGAAGCCGAGACCATGTTTCCATTGGAAAAAATAAGCAAACCCTAATAATCATCTTCCCAGAAGAATCAGCCCATTGATAAACATCTGTTGAAACGACAAAAAGAATCAGGTAAAGGAACAGGAAATTCAAAGGCATTATAATTTTGCCTTAAGTGTCCATACAAAGGAACCAAATGGAAGATCCAGTGTTCTTTGATCCATATCATTCCTTTTTCTGCAGAGAAATTTCTTTTCTTTTCCGAAACTTGACAACAGAAAAACAAAAAGTTAAGGATTAGTTTTTCCGAAAATTTTCAATAAAAAATCAGTATTTAGTAGAATATATAGAGGAACAAACTCTCATATAAACAAGGAAAAGCTCTTTCAGAACCATTCCAGCCTCATTTTCAGAAACAAGTTTTATGAGAAAGAAATTTGAAAATAAATCAAACATGGCGTTCTTGCAAATGAAACGCCAGACAGGGTCCTACTCTTATATAGATGAAAGAAAGGAACAAGACATGTGCAACCAATTAATGGCCCTTTCCATTATATTGTGCACTATTTTTATATCAGTTTTTATTGGATCTATCATTTTTGTTCCCAATAAGAAAGGTAAAAATCTCCTTTGCAGATCACAATCCACGTCAGTAAATTGTAGGCACAATAATGGAACCATTTTTTTCTAAAAACAATGTTCCATCTTCAAGGGATGATCCAGAATAAAATGCAATTATATAATTCAATTCCACAGGCATCCAACACTCCAGAAGTTGTAGTTGAACCTGAAAGATCCTCCCAGGAATGTTCGACGCCTGCTCCAGGAAAATATCGCCCAAAATCAACAACAGTTGTCACACCCCTCGTCAAGGCAAGGTTGCTGGCTCTCAGAAAAGCCTCCCTCCTTTCATCCACTGAGACCTCTGGAATCGAGGGGAGGACAAGT